GCTTTCACCGTGGATGAAGCGGAGTCCAGCCCGGGGTCGTCACATGTGGTTACCGCAAGCGAAACTACTTTGTTTGGCCTTCCAAATGAGGACACGGCTAGAAATCAGTAGTTAAGTTGTATTTACAACACTGTTCCAAAACAGTTCAACCCAAATATTCAGATGTGTGCAGCACATTTTATGGAGGACTGTTTCCTGATCCTGGTAGAGTAGACTACAGTGCCAGTTGTTCTGACTCACAGACTGTAAGTACGTTTTCATATTTAAAGGATTTGCCACTGACGATTTAAACACGAGTTTTGAGCAGTGTAGAGTAGCGCTTGTTGTTTGTCATTTCTCCGGTCACAAATGCAGAGGGTTTTATAAAAGACAGTATAAGTCATTATAATCCGTAATTATGTCCACACTGGATGCAACAAATGCCTCGTTTATAATGGGTTTTAATGTTTTTGTCTCGTCGCTCCGGGACAAGGCATCACACTATGGTAGGGGCGTAACATTTCCGTCACCCGCTTGAGGTATTCGGCCAATCACAACGCACTGGATAGCTGGCCAATCAGAGCACACCTCACTTTTCAGACCGATGAGCTTTGTAAAAATCGGCGCGTTTCAGAAAGGCGGGGCATAGAGGAGAAACAATAATGTACAGTATGTGGAAAATAATGTGTTTTTTAACTTTAAACTGCATAAACACATTTCATTACACCAAATACACAAAATAATGTTCTTTTTAGCAACATCATATGACCCCTTTAAATAAGTAGAAACAACAACAAAAAGAACAGCTAATAAAAAAGTAATCATAATTATTATTCTAACTGAATTCATAAAAGATTATGGTTTTAAATATGTTTGTCGTTCAGTTGTATTTAGTAAAGTAGATTTTACTCTTCTTTGCATGATAACTGATATCATAATAAGATTGGAATGATAACTGATGCTATGTTTGGGAAAGGATCTTTTTATGTTACTGTTTCAACACAGCTCATATGCGATCAATAAGCCTCATTGATTTGTGTTTATTGGGTTAAATGTTAAATTGAAACCGGACCTCTGGGACTGTAATTTGTCATTTGTTTCAGGGCTCAAGATAGACACTCGGCGGTGGAAAAATTACAACAAAATGGCTCTATACATATGATTCTGACCAATGATGGCATCAGTGCTTTTAGAGGTATTTTTGGATTACCTGTAACTTCTGCCACCTTTTCTATTATGCTATATACAGTAAATGTACATATATGAAATCTGATATAAACTGATCTAAAAGTCCACAAGCATTGTGAAGAATAGAGAAGGAACCTAATGAGAGGACATTAACAAAAGCCTATTAAAACTATCCTCTAAGAAAAAGGCTGTTAGAATTAATTTCATTAATTTCCGCTTGCACATTTGGACTGCACAATGCTCATTCTCCTGACCACATTTTAGTCACGGCAATGTTCAGGCTTAGATGTGTGTGTGCACAATGTGAGACATAACTTTTAGTGGACTATAGCTAATAAAATCACAAGTGCTGCAAGATTCCTCAAAAAATGGTTGTTTCTTCACATGGCTTAACACACTATTTAAAAAAAAAATAAAAAAAGGCGCTAGACATACTGTACATGTATGGAAGTCTCTTTCCACGGAATTAAAAAATATAATTTATTATTAAAAATAAAAAAGTTTCAACTTTTTGTCTCGCTTTTTTTTTTTGGCAGAAACTGAATATTGAGATGTAAACTTCAAGTTTCTCACAATTCTGAGTTTATAATTCTGTCGCAATTCTGACATTTTTGAACAATAAAAAACGAAATTGCAAGATGTCAAGATGAGAAACTCATAATTCAAAGAAAGTTGGTTAGAATTCTGAGATCTAAGCTTGAAATGGTGAGAAAAATTGCAATTCTGACTTTCTATGATTTGTTTTTCTTTTTTTCAACTTTTTATCTTGCAATCGCAAGTTTTATTTCTTGCATCTTACTTCCATGTGTTTGTGCATAATTTTCAATTATGAGAATTGTAGTATTATACTCCAATAGGATAAATTCTTCTTATTGCTTTATTCAGTGCTTGAGTAAATTTTTTAATACCTGACCAGTTCCTGTATTAGACTATACAGCTCTATATTGTCTACTGTCACAGTATCAGTTGCATTTGTTATAGCTGAAGTGTTTGTGAGTTCCCAACATGCATTGCAGCATGAATAAATTGTGTGGTTATACTGGTATAGGATTATTGTTTTGCTGTTTGCTGACTTTATTCATACTTTTGTTTTTGTTTGTATTACTATTGTTAGTTATTTCTTATTTTGTGATGTAAAAGCTCATCTTTTTGCATTTGTTGATTGTCACCATTCTGAGGTTTGTGTAAAGCACTTACTAACTATAATCCAGATATCTTTGCTTTGTAAGATGATTGCTTCAGAAAAAAAGATAGCATAGCTTACTAAATTTTACTAGATTTTAAATCCGGAAGATGAAAATAGCGCAAAAAAAAAAAAAGCTTAAAATTTTTCTCCAGCAATTAAAATTAATGGATGCTAACATTGTCTTCTATGATGTGCAACACAAACACCTCTCCTAAAATCTCAGCAAAAGTAGTCTGGGGTTTCATGACCCTTTAAAGGGGTCATATGATGCTGCCAAAAAGAACATTATTTTGTGTATTTGGTGTAATGAAATGTGTTTATGCAGTTTAATGTTCAAAAAACACATTATTTTCCACATACTGTACATTATTGTTTCTCCTCTATGCCCCGCCTTTCTGAAACGTGTCGATTTTTACAAAGCTCATCGGTCTGAAAAGCGAGGTGTGCTCTGATTGGCCAGTTATCCAGTGCGTTATGATTGGCCGGATACCTCAAGCGTGTGACGGAAATGTTACGCCCCTCACCATACTGTAATGCTTTGTCCCGGAGCACGAGACAAAAATATTAAAACCCATTATAAACGAGGCATTTGTTGCATCCAGTGCGGACATAATTACGGATTATAATAACTTATACTGTCTTTTTACGCATTGCGTTGCATCGTGCCGCATAAACAAAAAATCATGTCTGCATTTGTGATCGGAGAAATTACAAACAAGAAGTACTACTCTACACTGCTCAAAACTCGCATTTGAATCGTCAGTGGCAAATTCTTTAAACATAAAAAACTTACTTACAGTCTGTGAGTCAGAACAGCTGGCATTGTAGTCTACTCTACCAGGATCAGGAAACAGTCCTCCATAAAATGCGCTGGATACATCTGAATATTTGGGTTGAAGTGTTCTGGAACAGTGTTGTAAATACAACTTAACCACTGATTTCTAGTCGTGTCCTCTTTTTTCGCTTTCACAACGAAACAGCGTTACACACCGCGGCCTTGAGTGAGCGGAGGCCGGAGGCCTAGAGTGAGTCGCGGCCTAGAGTGAGCGGAGGCCGGCTTGAGTGAGCAGAGGCTTGCGGCTTGCGGCTACCACATGTGACGACCCCGGGCTGGACTCCGCTTCGTCCATGGTGAAAGCCAATCCGGCGATCGACAGCGCAAAGTTGATGTATTCCATCAGCGACCAGCACGGATCAGCACTAGGCATGACGAAGCGTCCTCTTTTGGAAGGCCAACCAAAGTAGTTTCGCTTTCACAACGAAACACACAGCGTCTTCACGACATGGCGGCGGGGGCAACAACAATACTACAGCAAGAATAAAAGTTACGCCTTCTTTCTTTGTGTGAACATTAGGGCGGCGATGTGCGAATCTTCCCACACCGTGACGTAGACATGTGGGGGCGTGTTAGAACGAGCCGTTTTAGGTAGGCGTGGTTGACTCTTAACTTTTATAAAGAATATCTCTTTGGATTTGAGACTTTAGTATTTGCAACTTTACAGATCTTCTTTATGCACCAAGAGCTTGTAACACTCCAAAGAGAAAGGAAAAATTGAAATCGCATCATATGACCCCTTTAACAAATGCGAAAATAGTAAAACACTATAAATAGTAAAATAACAACACTTTGGTGTTCTTCATGGGCCTGATGTGCTCTATAAAAGTTAGACTTGTGCTTATGGAAAAGTGAAAGTGGTGAGCTAGTGTTACATATGGCACATTATCATATTGAGCTACTATGGCCTTTTTTCTTTTGCATGTGGGTACATTTATTTTCCTTGTACGTGATGATGTTGTTTAATTCCAGTGCACTTTAAGGCCACTTTATAAGGAAAACTGGAATTTCACCCATGTGTGCCTACTTAAAATTCATGGTGCGTTTTTCATCTATATTATCTGTCTGTTCATTACCGCTCAGACAAAACTCCAGAGTAAATTAACACGATTGATCATGGCACAGAACACTAACTATTGTCATGAGAAAAATTGAAAATCTAGTATGCATGCAGCTTTCCAGAGGGAATTTGAAAATGTAATTTAAAATAGACTGTTAAAAGGAAGAGGAAGGTTTGTGTTGGTGTGCAATTAAAAAATGACATATTTAGAAGTATCAAGCAATCATCTCATGTGTCTCCTGATTATGATGTTGCAACTTGGATAAACATGACCGCAAATTACATTTAATAGCTACGACAGAGGGGTTGGTTATATAACTAATGACTATTATGATTAAGAAACACAAAATGGTATTGTATGGCATTAAAATATAACAAGTTGTATGAGCTGCTGTAATGAATTTAATGCTGTCTGTTTTCGTCCCATTTGAAGCTCAGCTTTACACATTTTAAAATAGTTTGTCATGTGACAAGCAGAAGCGCAGACATTCTGCTTTTGTTTCATAAAAGAAAGAATAACATTTGAGGAAGTAAATGAGAATTAATCAATTTAATATTTTGTTGTTAACTAGTGTTTTAATGTACAATGTTTGCTGTGAAGTGTGAGAATAGTGTTGTCTTCTCTCTTGTTAGAATCGCTTTGTACAGAGGTGTATGCGTTCATCAGCAGGTTGCAGTTCTCGCGCTGTCCCTTTAAGAAGCCAGTCCAGCTGTCATTGAAGTGATTGTCTGAGCTTCAACTCCTCTGGTGGAGGGTCTTATGCAGCATTTCAGTCGGATCCAATCGGGCAGGTAGCGCTCCTCGTTCCTGCTCCCCCCTACAGATGGGACACATGCTCACTGAAGACTGCAGAAAGTTTTAAGGCTGGGAAATTAGCGAAATGGCAGAACCAGCAACTATAACCAGACCCCTGATATCTTCCAAGCGACATAAGAGCATAAGAAAGAGTTCCAGAAGGATTTATTCCCCATATCAAGACGATAATGGGTAAGTCACCTTTTTGTCTAAATCTGAAATTATTTTTTAACTCTAGGTTACATTGGCTTATTTTGCACCTGACACTTGTAGACTGTAGCATTCAGACTCTTAGGTATGTTATTTATTTATTCATTATTTGGAATATTTATCCTTTATAGCATAACAAAGCATTATATTCAATTTAAATGTAAAACTTCGTAACTTGTGGTTTGCATATAAACTATGTTTAGTTTATAAACTATATTTATAGAAATTTATATTCAAAAATGTATATAATTCTTGAAAAATCTTGTATATCACGTTTTCATAATTTCTGAGTCTGATTTCTATTATACAAGGAATTTAAATGATAAGCATCCATGTCTTTTACACATGTACAGTATGTGGATCTGTTGCATTATATACACAGTCCACATTGCGCCACATAAATATAGTATGATTTTTCTGCAACCCACTTTGCATATAACAAGTTTCATAAGCAAACTAGAGAACAGAAAGGGACTTTAGTCATCATTTATAATTTTTTACATACAACTAGAAATTATAACAGGTTGTATATACAATTTTAGGGTTCTGAATCCAGTTCACCTTCAACCTTAAAAGTGTGTCTACATATTTTGCAGCATCCACATAATTAATTCAACGTTTAATTATAGTTTAGTTATAATATTTAATTATAATATTACAAATTTTGGAATACATTTTTTTGTACATCCATTGTATTTTTCATGTTCTTTTTAAATATACCGGTAAATCAACAATGTTTTGTTATGTGCTGCACAAATAAAAGTCTAATGTTACTGTTAGATAAATTGCAGTGATTATTGAGCTTTGGTTGTGTTTCAGACCATCTGATGATGAGGATAAGGATGGAGAAAGAGTGGACAGTAATGATCCAGAGGAGTCGTTCCAGAACATTCAGCTTCAGAAGGAAATCATCGCCAACATCCAAACTAAACCCTGGCCAATAAGACGCAAGCTAAAAGTGCTCAAGTAAGACCCCATCAAGTGTATGTCAGGAAAATGCCATCAGAATTTCTGCACATCCTGTACTGAAATTATTACAGATCATAAAATTTAATAGTTCTCTAGTGGAACAGTTTAAATAGCACAAGATAAAGAGGATATAGGATTTATAAGTTCAGCATTTATAAGACCAAAATGTGAGCGTAAATGTGAATGTGCAGGTAAAATGTGCTGTAAAGGTATTTTTGAGCTGATGCCAGTGTTTATATAGCAGTTGACATGGTTGTTAGTAAGATTCCTTATATAAATAGGAAGAATGAAAAGAACTAAGCATTATTTCTGTCTAAAATGATTATTTGACCCCATTACCGCCATTAGCCTTCTTGGAAACGGCATTCGAAAATGTTTGAAACTGATGATAATGGCTTAGGGAAGCATCCTCGCATTAAACCCGTAAGGTAAATAACAATTAACTTTCAGTGCTTGAAAGCGGCTGCCATATTTACAACATGATGCTTGGAGAACAAACTAAATTGACTGAGTAATTGTTTCATTAGCCTGGCCAGCAGTTTCTTAGTTTACTGGTTGGGTACAGATCGCTGCGGCTTCTTTGCGCTTGGGTCAGGGATGCGTAAATGCACCCGCTTTGAATGACTGGGGTTACGCCAAGATCACATTCTGGTTTTATTCTGGTACAGTGTACAAGCAATCATTGTGGATTTATGCACCTGAGAAAGCACTCAAAATACTGGGATTTACTTACATGTTTAACTCATTGATATTCACTAAATAGGAAGTTGGTTCATATTTACATAGAAGAAAGTATAACTCATATGCTTCTTTCCATATTTTTTTGCCTTCTCTTTTTAAATGAACCTCCATTGTCACAAATTCAATGCATTAAAAATATATCAAGGAAGTAAAGAAAATACTGCATTAAATGTGCACACACACACACACACACACACACACACACACACACATATATATATATATATATATTTACATAGAAGAAAGTATAACTCATATGCTTCTTTCCATATTTTTTTGCCTTCTCTTTTTAAATGAACCTCCATTGTCACAAATTCAATGCATTAAAAATATATCATGTATATTTAATATAATTATAATGTAAGGAAGTAAAGAAAATACTGCATTAAATGTGCACACACACACACAACATATTTTTATACATATTTTTTAATATTAAAAAAATTATAATATTTAAATTAGATATATTAAATAATGTTTGAAAGATAGAATGGAGCATAGCATGTCAAATTTCCAAATGTATTTTATGTCAGCTCCCACCATATGCTTTCATTATTCATTTATTTCAGGGGTTCTGAACATTTGCATCCACCCAAATGTCCAAAGATGATGTTTGTCCAACTAATTATCAGTGTGCTTTCATTAGCACATTTATCTATGAAGTTTCTTAAAATAACTGGCAGGTTTCTGCCTGATGGTGCATGATGCATGCTCCATTTTACGAGTGTCTTCATCATCTTTGGGTGAGCACTCATGATTACATACACCCACCTTCTGAATGTGTTTGATTCCTCTATTATGTTGTCATTGAATTTTATGGACTAATTTTGTTGTTTCTGGTTTGTTTTTCATTTTTATTAATAAAGAAACCAATGAAGCACCATTTTTAATGGGTAAAACATTTATGAAAACAAATATTAACAAAAGTGTTCTAGAGATGTGTTCAGGATCATAGAACAGGAAAGCCTTCTATTATTGCCCTCACTATCACTAGCAACAGCTAACAATCCATAACATTGAATTTGTGTGTGTTTTAGGCAAGCCAGAGAGATTGTTCTGAAATATGAGGGCAGACTGACCAGGACGAGAGGTTACCAGGCAGCCGGGGCACTGCGGTTCTTCCCCCTCTGAGTGAGAGCTCGCTGATGCGGCCATCTTTTTCTGAGGAGATTGATGTTGTTGGTGTGACTGAGTGGCTCGCGTGCTGCCGAGGCAACGCGTATATTACGTAATTCGATTTCGATGTAAATCTTACTCACCAGACCGTATTTACCCCTCTGGTGGTTGACTGCATTTAATTCTGAGGAATAAAATGAAGTATTTTCTGACTATGAGAAGTTAGATACACAGAGGGGTGTTTACCTCTCTTCCTCTGAGGAGGTTGAGGCGGTCAGCAATGCACAAAAACAGAAAAACAGAGCGTGGCCTCACCTACTCCCCCGTGTCGAGACAGTGGGTCGAGGCGACGCTCTAGGTCGGGGGCCTCGAAATCTAAGCCGGATCTGCGGACCGTACTTAAGACTAAGAGGTCCTCGGCCAAAAAGTCCTGACGCCACTGGCCCAGGACTCATGAGGGCAGTCCCCTCTGGGGTGCAGCGGGTTACACCGCATTACACGGTGTCCGTCTCGCCTCAGTGCCCTCAGGAGATCGGCTGCTAACCCTGCCAGAGTTACAGGGCACAGCGGTCTCCCGCGAGCGCCACTCTCAGTTACCGCCCGGCAACGTAGCGGTGCTAAGAGGCTCGCCACCTCCGCGGAGGTCTCTAGAGCAGCGGGTTCGATTGTCCCTGCCGGTTCGCCGTTACAGGGCACCGAGCTGGCTGCTCGTATTACACCAGAGATCAGTCTCGAGAGACTGATTCCCTTAGTAGACGTTTTGGCAGCGTGGGTATTCTCCAAAATGGCACCAGGGTGACGGAGGAGACAAATTGTTGAATAAAGTCGTTTTTTTTTTCTTTTGCACACAAAAAGTATTCTCGAAGATTAGTAAAATTACGGTTAAAAATTGCGTTCCCTTTTGCGTTCTCTCGCAAAGATATTTTGCGTTCCCTCGCAAAACTTTTGCGTTCTCTCGCAAAGATATTTGCATTCCCTCGCAAAACTTTTGCGTTTTCTCGCAAAGATATTTGCGTTCCCTTTTGCGTTTTCTCGCAAAGATATTTGCTTTCCTCGCAAAACTTTTGCGTTCTCTCGCTAAGATATTTGCGTTCCCCCGCAAAACTATTGCGTTCTCTCGCAAAGATATTTGCGTTCCCTCGTAAAACTTTTGCGTTCTCTCACAAAGATATTTGCGTTCCCTTTTGCGTTCTCTCGCAAAGATATTTTGCGTTCCCTCACAAAACGTTTTGCTCTGTAACATCTCAGGTGTAATAAGGTGAAAAATCTCCCCCAGAAAAGTATGAAAATGATTTTAAAAAAATTTAGAAGTAGTTATACCCTTTGTGAACGAAGTCACAAAATTTCAGTCCAATGCGATAACATTAACTAGTATTTTCGGGAAAAATAAAAAAATTTCAGAGCAAAAAGGACTCGAACACCACATGAGGGTTTTAATTTCTCACCCTCATGTCGTTCTAAACTCGTAAGACCTCCGTTCATCTTCGAAACACAAATTAAGATATTTTTTGATGAATTCTGAGAGTTCTCTGATCCTCCCATAGACAGCAATGTAATTACTACGATCAAGGTCCAGAAACGTAGCGAGGAGATCGGTAAAATAATCCATGTGACATCAGGGGTTCAACCGTAAATTTATGAAGCTACGAGAATACTTTTTGTATGCAAAGAAAACAAAAATAACTACTTCAACAATTCGTCTCCTCCGCATCATTTTGCATCCACCCTAGCGCCATTTTGGAGAGTATCAGCTGAACGTAAACAGCGTATGCTGTATACCGATCTCCTTGCTACATTTCTGGACCTTGATTGTGGTAATTACCTTGCTGTCTATGGAGGGTCAGAGTGCTCTCAGAATTCATCAAAAATATGATGAACGGAGGTCTTACGGGTTTGGAACGACATAATTAATGACAGAATTTTCATTTTTGGGTGAACTATCCCTTTAAAACTCAACAAGGACATTTTTTAAACCTGTAAATGGAAAATACGGTTAGATTTATTTCACTCCTGGTGCAGAGACACAAAGCAATTTCTGCTCAGGTATCATCTGTTGTCCTCTATCATTCCCTCTGTCTCTTCAATCTGTCCAATCAGCTCCTGGCCGGCGCTCCGTTCGGTACCACCCGCAGCAAGACCATCCCCAAGGAGCACCTTGCCTCCGCACAAGACCTGGACACCATCTGGTCGCTGGGGGCAAGACTATCATCTCTCGTTTTTACTACTTTACAAATATGATGTGCATATTATCTGCGGAACTTCGGGGTTTAATCGCAAATCATTTATTTTTGATGTTCAATCTGCCAGTTTGTCAACCGTTTTTGTTTTATGTCCATATTTCAGGGATATCTACAATACTCTGTGCTTTTTTACGGCTACTACAGCAATGTGCGTAAAATCGGCAGTGCCGGCTACAGACTACCCTTGGCCTATTTTCTGGTCGGGATGGCCATTTTTGCCTACAGCTTCATCACTTTGCTTAGAAAGTAATCACTACTTCAAAGACACTTTGCTTGAAATTAACCTCCGTACATTCAAATTTAAGCATTTGGTGGATGCTTTTATTTAAATCGACTTATAGCTATAGCTATATTTTCATTTCATGTCAAACTCATGGCTTTAACTAACTCATTTACGACAGGTATGGAGTTTCTGTTGAAGCTGGTTTATTAAGGATCTGGTTAACCTGTCTTTTTTTAGCAGGGTTGATGAAAGTATCTGGTAAAAAAATGATGTTGCTTTTTAACCCTTGTGCTGTGCTGAAAATCTTTTGTTTAATTTGATGTTGCTTGTAAATCTATTATTATGCTACATTATCAGCAAATCTTGGATACAGTGTTTTTGTCATCTTGTTTTTTTTTTCAATTAGCACAGGTTTTTTTTCTTTTCTTTTGGCACCTCAGTTTTTAAGTGAAAAACATTGTGTGAATAATTTTGGTACTGAGGTGCATGAGCTCAGATCAATGAGGCCTACAATCAATTAATTCCAAAAAGTTATACAAAACCTGTGCTAACTAAAAAAAAACAAGCAGATAAAAAGATTGAATCCAAGATTTAGTAATAATGTCGCATCACAAAAGAAAATCTGTAGGCAATTTTCTAGGCCTGTCATTTTCGACAGGGAATGCCATAAATGTAAAATGCCATAAATGTGTTTTGGGCAAAATGCCAAGTCAGTCAATTTTAGTCCAATATCATAACATGAACTAGCATTTCCAGACATTCTCTCTGGGTCACAATTAACAGAACACAACATAAATGCCAAGTCATTTTTCACCATGTGGTAATTTTTTCATAGTCATATTCACTAAGAAATGTATTATTGTTCTTTAGAAAAAGCTCAATTTGTGTTCCTCATTTGCTGTTGTTTTTATCAGAATGGCTAAAAACTCCCGCATGAGTTTAGCTGGCGCCTCAGACGAGAATTACACCTTCTGCTGGCGTGTCTTCTGTGCATGGGACTATCTGATTGGGAACCCAGAGGCGGCCGAGAGTAAAGGGGCGGCCATCGTCAATTGCATCAGAGTGAGTATCTTCTACATCCAACAGACCCAAATAAACAATCTGTCCTTGATTCCATTCTCAGTGATCATCCAGTTTTAATCCACTTCATCATTGCCTACACAGGAGGTTTATGTTCCACTATTAGTGCTGATTTCTCCAAGGAAAACATGTTATTTGAGTCTCATTTGTGTGATGCTAAATTCCAGATATTTCTTTGGAACATCATTAAATTTGTTCATACACGAATGTTGCACTTGTTGCATGTTTTTAAAAGTGCAAAAGTTGTGATTGCACTCAGATGGATGTGATAACCATATCAGTCAGGTCCACTAACTGGTCGAGATTTGGATTTTGCACATTGCCAGTAAATAGATATTATATTTTCTAAATATCTGTATCAGGATCAACCATGTTGGTCAATCCAAAATATTAATTTTCTTTCTTTATTTATGATGATGGTACCAAAGTACCACAATTTATTGAAGTAACAGTTACTATAATACCTGCACCTATTTGGCAGATATTATTATTATTATTAATCATAATCATATTATTAATCATATTACTTAACAATTAATTATTAATGTTTTTTGGATTTTGAAATGTATTTTGGATGCTAACCAGTGTTATTTTATCATTGAGATACTATTACAGTTTTTATTAATATTTTGAATCAGGGTTTTTTCCCCCGTATTTTCCATTTTCCTTTAAATTTGAGTAATTTAGCATAATTTAGTTTTTGTAATTGTTTGTAGTTTTTGTTTTTCATATATATACATCTATATAGTTTGTTTATTTTCGTTTTAGATATTTTATTACATCAAGTTAAAACCATTTTTTTCTTTATGGTTTTAGTTTTAGATATAACTAATAATCCTGATGCCAACTAACCAAAATGTTTTGCTTCTGTTTATTAGGAGGCCATTGTAGAAGAGCAAGAAAAGAAGAAAGACACAAGCCTGCAAGTTTTCCTCTTTATTTGAGTTTCCATTATGACCTCCACATATCCCTAAATGCTGACTAAGTGTTTTCTCCAAACTCTCTCGGAAGTGCATGTTTAACAGAACTGTGTTTTGAGGGTGGGAATGATCGTGTCAGTAAGTGACTTACAGTGATGTGCTGTTTCTCAGCGCCTGTAATGCTTCCTCAGACCGCCCTGATTTATACATCTCCTCCCCGTCCAATGCAATCACAGCAGAACATGCGAAAACGGAAAACATCCCACCGTATTTTATACAAACGGCCTTTTACTGCGGGCCGATGACTGCACCTAAATCGCCAGCAGACCTGCTCACACATTAAAGCCGATTAATACAGTATGTTGTGGGAATGCGACACCCATGCACACAGGGTTATGCTAACATTTGTACAGTATCTCTAGATAATTATAGTTAAACTTTATACTTGAATCTAACAAGACCACGACACATTTCACCCCAAAATCAAACAACTGAAAGAAGAAATAAATATGTATATTTTGCTTATTTATTTGTTTATTTTATTTATTTATTTATTTATTGCATTATGGACATTTAACAGGATTTCTGCTGGTCTTAAAAAGTCTTAATTTGCCCTTCCTCAAATTAAGGCCTTAAAAAGGTAGCAGAAAGATTTAAATTCATAAAGTCATGGCATATTGCATGCATTGCAAAAATAATAAAATAAAAATAAGCAAGTTTATGTTTGATTTTGCTTATGAAATCTTGTTTTATCTTTTAAATTAAGGTACTTTTTCAGTTTTTCTTACCTTATATTATTTTACAAAAACCATGTGATATTGAAGTGTGTACTTGTGCTTTTGTCTGTGATAAAACTTGTTCAGGCAAACTGGGAAATGAAGTGCATCAAGTCAGAAAGGAATTGTTTATTGATAATGTGCTTACAGTGTTCATCCAATGCTGAATTTTAGATCTGAAGGGGGGAGAGAACCCTGTTATGATACTAGAATTCCTCTTGAGCATGTCTTCTGCTTTTATAGTGTATATGTACAACCTCCTGAATCAGAAAGATGCTGTCAGAAAAACTTTTATTGAAGTAATCTTTTGGGGTTATTGGTCCCTGGCAATAGAAAGTGTACACATTATTCATAATGTAAATCAGAATATAATACAGTGTGGTTTTCTTATACTCAGCTCTCTATAATATTTTAGTCCGGTTGGTCAGTCGCAGCATTTTACAGATGTTACCTAGTGCTAGTTTCAGGTTGCATATCTCTTTGAACTCTCACATAAAATAATTAAGAGTGAATAATCAATAGTTAATGTCAATGGATTTGAAAGTAGCCATGTAAGCGGGTTCATGTACAGTCAGCTGTCCATCATCACTTAATAAATCTATTTCACGATGGTACAGGATCAGATGTTTGTTGGTGTATCTGACTGTGTTTCTGTCCCAACAGAGCCGTACTGATCAGTTTGCGGATTCTGGCAAACATTCTGGTGCTGCTGTCTCTGACTGGCAGCATCTACATCATCTACTTTGTGGTGGATCGCTCTCAGAAACTAGAGCAGGAGAAACCAGAGCTAACACTCTGGGAGAAGAACGAGGTACACTTTGAGTTATGTTTTTTTACACATTGTCTATAAGTGTACATGAGTACTTGACAAAATATTTTGTCTTGGGCTAGAGGTTACACAAGTTTTCTGCTCCTCCTCCTTTTTCTCATTTAATTCTTTTTTTATTATTATTATTGTGTAGCATCCCAGTTTGCCTCCTTATACTACGCCCTAAAAGTATGTACCCTTTTTGTGAAGAAAAAGTGCATAGTTTTGAGTATGTAGTAGAATAGTGTGCAAGCTCTGAGACTACTTGGTCATAATTACATCTTTAACGAAGCACTCTTTGTTACGTGCATCCTGTCACCGATAAGATATAACATGGATTTTTTATCAGGTTAGATATTTGTTAATCACTCAAACCCCTTGCTTATCTGCCATGTTTATTGTTTGTTTTTTGTTTGTAGTTCTAATTGAATCCACATCCAAAGCAGAATGGGTTGTGGGCAATATTGTGTGTAAATTGGGACACAGCGTTGTTGTTGTTGTTTTTTTTTTTGTTATTTTCTAATTATTTAATTACTATTATTTCTTCTTTTTCTGCTTCTTTTTCTTATGTCTGCCATATCCAGATATTTCATTAGGGACGATGTGTTGTATGTTAGAGAAAGATGAGTGATTTTACTGTATATGTGACCCTGGACCACAAAACCAGTCTTAAGTGTCAATTTTTGGAAATTGAGATTTATACACCATCCGAAAGCTGAATAAACAAGCTTTCCATTGATGTATGGTTTGTTAGGATATGACAATATTTGTTTGAGATACAACTATTTGAAAATCTGGAATCTGAGGGTGCAAAAAATCTAAATATTGAGAAAATCACCTTTAAAGTTGTCCAAATGAAGTTCTTAGCAATGCATATTGCTAATCAAAAATTAAGTTTTGATATATTTACGGTAGGAAATTTACAAAATATCTTCATGGAACATGATCATCTTTTCATTAAAAAAAATCAATAATTTTGACCCACACAATGTATTTTTGGCTATTGCTACAAATATATGGTTTTGTGGTCCAGGGTCACATATGTATTGGGTTTGTTCTTTAGGTGAGTGTGGTTGTGTCCCTCATCACAATGATTGCTCCTTCAGCCTTTGAGTTAGTGGCTCAGCTGGAAATGTACCACCCCAGAACGAGTCTCCGCTTCCAGCTTGCCAGGTCTGAAAATTACTCTTTGAACACTCTTGTTGCTCTAGTTTGGCTCTACCTTTTTATATTTTGTTTGTCAAAAGAGAAATATGCCTTTTGTTTAGAGTTCTGGTGTTGTACCTTGGAAACCTCTACAGTTTGATTATTGCCCTCCTGGATAAAGTCAACAGCATGAGCTCTGCTGTGAGTCACAGTTACATTCTTATTGCATTCTCAACCTTTTCTCTATGTCTACATGATTAATCAATACAATTGAAATCTTAATTTGTGTGCACTCACAATATCAAGAAAATGTTGTGCTTTTGTAAAATACAGAAAACAAACAGGATGCGCTTGTTGCCTCGGTCTTGAGCAGGAGCGCTTCACAAAAATGAACCGAAAATCTGCTAATATTTTCCTTACAAACATAATGAATACATCTATGGAAAACTTTAAATGACTACAAAACAATTTCAATTCAAAACAAAAACTATTTTATTATGTAATTATAACAAGATAACAAGATGCATTTCTTTCTAAAGGCGCGTCCAATGATGAGATGGCGAGTCAGGATCATCAATTTCATCTTTGCGACACTGACTCAGAAAACACTAGTTTATTAAATGATGTTTTATTAACAAGATTTGGGAGGACAGCATCAGATACTTAGCCTAATTAACACAGGTGGAGCACACCCAAGTTAATCAACACCATGATATAAATACAGCTGACTTACCTCTATCCATTGACGGTTTATCAGCATCTTGGTTCGCTCGTCTACAACCATGTCGCAAAAACAAACCTCCACGTCTGAAGACGAATCCAACTCTCCTCCGGTCCCATCGTCGCAACCAGCCGGCCCTAAGACCACTCCTCCTCGGCGTAGCACCGCAATCGAGCCCCAGGCCCCATCTTGCGGATGCAGTACGGCTCGAGCAGCCACTCGCCTCTCAAGATGCCTAGGCCTACCCTCGCCACCTCCGGCGAGAACCCCAGTCGACTCCCCGGCGTCCTCCTATCGCTCGGCCAGGCCAACAATTCCACTTATAGGAAAGTGGACCGTGTCGAGTCTGAGGCAAGCGCTGACCAAATCCGACGTCCAACCTTCACGCAAGTTAAACAAAGCAGAATTATATGACTTGTACACAAATCTGCATCTAACTAACCTCTCTCCCGAGTCCACCCCAACCCCAAAGAAGGGCAAAAGGCAAGACAAACCTCCAGATATGCCTCACCGGACTCCACCGTCTTCCTCTCGCGCAAGGCCCAGCTCTCCGCGATTATCAAGCCGCGGTGTCAGGGCGTCAACAAGTCTGGGCCGCGCCCCGGATCCCGCCACCACAAGGGTGCATGTGACATCGGCAGCTCAGCCTTGCACCGCGGCTTCTACTCCAACAACGCCGGGGCCCGTAGCTCAAGCAAGCACTCCGCCGCCAATCACAGCCCTGCCGCACGCCACTTTCGGCTCAGACCTCACAGCCCAAGCAAGCGCTTGGCCGCACTGGCTATCGAACACAGCCCCGCCGCCCACCACCTTCAATTCGGGGACCGCAGCCCAAGCAGGCGTTTGGCCGCACTGGCCATCACACACAGCCCCGCCGCCCGCCCCTTCCAGCTCGGAGCCCGCGGCCCAAGCAAGTGCTTGGCCGTACTGGCCGTCACACACAGCCCCGCGGCCCACCCCTTCCAGCTCGGGGCCCGCTGCCCAAGCAAGCGCTTGGCCGTACTCGCTGGCAAAACACAGCCCCGCCCCCAGTCCCCTTCAACTCTCTCCTCCAAGCGAAATCAAAAATACCCGCTCTTCACTGCTAAACAAATGCCCGCCCCATCAAACGCCGTCGCCTCTGAACCTCCCCAAGTGGCTCACAACATCAGAGCGCAGATATTAGCAGGTGCGGACGTCAATCTGTCTTCTCTTCTTTCCCTCCTGCCCACTTCCGACTCAAACTGTCAAATAGACTGCGGGGATTTCTTTTTCTGAGTTCACCATTGCATTTAGTCGGTTCACCGAGATAATCTTTACAGCCTTCCCCCACAGGCGACGCGAACTCAATGATTATCTGTCAATTATAGCCGAACTCGCATTTTCCTACGGGGGGAGCCATTTTCACACGTACCACAAGCTTTTTTCTGCAAAATGTGCAGTACGAGTCGCCCAATGGAACCAGTGCCCTTACTGGGGGGCACTCAATCCAGATCTCCACAGCCGGGTATTTTTAGGCTGCAGGAACATTTCTTGTGCGGTTTGTAGGTCAGTCGCTCACTCCACCATGACTTGCCCACAAATCAACCCCTCTATACCCTCATGCCCCCATACTTCCTCTGTGAAATCCACCAGCTACGTCCCAAGATCCGCAAATACTGCAAACTCGGGTCCCAAATAACCAGCCCCATCAGAAGCAGATAACAGGCAGCCATGCATCTCATTTAACAATGGTAGATGCATCAGACAGCGCTGCCGGATTCTACACATCTGCAGTTTCTGTGGCAGAGCTCACGCCCGCATCGTCTGCCCAGTGTTTAAAGCTGTGAATAAAAAATCTAAAAATTACCTATCGACTCCCGTGAATATTTCACGCCTGACCATCGAACTCCGTCTTACGTTCGGAGAGGCTTACCGTTTCGATGCTGTGAGTATTGAGCTCCCGTCGGACGTCGGCAAGAGTCTCCCGGCCACATAACTTTACTTTTCCGTTCGACGGTTGGCGAGGCTTAGCCGTCCGACGCCATGAGTCTCGACCTCCTGCCGAACGCTGTCAGAACCCTCTCAGCTAAACCTCACGTCTTTTCCCCCCGCCTGGCGAGGCTTACCCGTTCGATGTTCTGAGTCTGATACCCTATCGGATGCTGCAAGAGCCCTCCCAGTCGAGTTTTCCTTTTCTCTCTCCCCGCCCGGCGAGGCTTACCCGTCTGATGCAGCGAGTCTTGATCTCCCGTCAGATGTCGGCGAGAGTACTCCCGGTTGGGCTTCTATACTTGCCGTCCGCAAGCAAGACTTATCCATCCGATGCCGTGAGTCTTGATCTCCCGTCAGATGTCGGCGAGAGTACTCCCGGTTGGGCTTCTATACTTGCCGTCCGCAAGCAAGACTTATCCATCCGATGCCGTGAGTCTTGATCTCCCGTCGGGTGTTGCAAGATTCCTCCTTGCCGGATGGCCCAAAGTCTTTTTATCTGCCAAACCGAGAGGACCCACACGTCCGTCGTCCTGAGTCTTAATTTCCAGTCGGAGGCTTCATGGACCCTCTCGGTCAGCCATTTTGCCCTCTGCCCACTGATTAGCAGGGGCCTATCAGCCAGTAGGGCCCGTACGCTGACACCGCGAGCTATTCCAGTCGAGGCAACTTGGGCCCTCCTGGTAGGGCTATACAATCACGCTGCTCCTCCCTCATCAGCCGGTAGGGCTCACCCGTTCCAACGATGTGAGCTTCCGTTGAGCATCGGCTCGAGCCCTCCCGACCGGGTGCCCCAAACCACGTAGTCCAATGCCAACAGCCGGTAGGGCCTACCCTCCCATCGCTTAAGTCGCTCTCACCTGAGTACGTAGGCTCTTTCGGTTTGCCAACCAGGCGACTTCTCAAAACATCAGCCCCTGCCAGTTCTCAGTGCTTATTTTGAGGGGGTTCTCAGTCTGGCGGCTGTCCTTTGCTCAATTGCTTTTTTGGGGGTACTCTAGGTTCGGGCCATTCCCGGGCTCGGAGCCCTTCCCCGGACAGCACGCCAAATATGCATTACCATACTTCAGCTAATTATATGTAAGCGTGAACTCGTGAAATGATGTTTTATTAACAAGGTTCGGGAGGAGCGTGTCAGATACTTAGCCTGATTAACACAGGTGGAGCACACCCAAGTTAATCAACACCATGATATAAATACAGTTGACTTACCTCTATCCATTGACGGTTTATCAGCATCCCTCCGCCGCCCCATCTCCTCACTTCGAGTTCATACTACACTTATAAGGGGGGGGGAGGGGGTACTCTAGGTTCGGGCCATTCCCGAGCTCGGAGCCCTTCCCCGGACAGCACGCCATATATGCATTACCATACTTCAGCTAATTATATGTAAGCGTGAACTTGTAGCGTGAACCTTACTATTTCCCCCCAACATATACATGGTAACTTTTGCGGCAAGCCTATTTAGTGCGCTCACGCGTTGGTGTGCGCCATGGTCACGAAAACTCATCATCTTCATGCATTAAGCATTGTGGTTTAAAAACAAGTGATTGAAACGCAAAAAACAGCACTACATGTGCAAGCTGTCTGTTTCTGAGCATGATTTCTGCAATTAGGTCGGATCATATTCACACCTTAAACGAACCATACCAGAGTTTGTTTGGAAGCGGACCGAGACCACTTCTTCAGCTGGGTCTCGGTATGGTTGTTTGGTCCGCACCCGAGTGCGATTGCTGTATTCACACCTGCCCAAAAGATCCACACCAAGAGGGGAAACGAACTTGAGTTCGATTCAGTCGAACCAAACAAGACAGGTGTGAATACACCCTTAATTTCACAGTGAAATATTAGAATAGTAATGTTTATTTTGTCTAATATTTTACATAATAATAATAAGTATTGTTATGATTATTATTATTATTATTATTTTATAGTGATATTGATATTTAATCACAATTTTTTGGCCAAATTGTGCAGTACTTTACACAGTACAAACAAGCACGTTTTATCACATTCACAATTTTATCAGAAATTTTTTTTGAAAAAATGAAATGTTCTTTTCCCAAATTGAGCAGCCCTATTTTTTTCTGATGTATTACTCAGCTGAAAATATATAAAATGTTTGAATGAATTAATGAAATCAGAACATTTATTTAACAACCATCAATAGATATTTGTGCAGTGAAAATATTCAGATTTTTGCCATCATTTAGTTAGGAAATTTACTTTATTTTTGTAAAAAAAAAAAATTACATATAACATAAACAAGCAAACAAACCATACATGTTTTGAATAATTTCAGATCACTGGGGGTCCAGGAAACCTGTCTGACTCAACATCATACCTTGCGACGATTTCCCAGCCTACTGAGGACAACCTGTCCACCATCGTCCCGGATGTCACAGAGCGGCAGAACAGCACACTGACCATGACTCTCCTGGACCTCAACAACAGTATGACCACCATCAAGAGCACCACATCCTCCGCACAACCGATGAGAATGCAGTCTCTGCTAAACCAGACTGTCCTTTATGAGTACAACACCAGATCACAGCAGGACCCCTGCTGGGAAACATATGTCGGCCAGGTACTCGCTCACATCAAAATCATTGCTCTCTGATCCAGATTTAGCTTCTCAGGGCTTCCTGGTTTCCACACCTGACTGGAGGATAGGAATGAACCCTTCATAGGTGCTAGCTAGAATTATCACTTAGCACATTTGTTGACTCACTGCTGACGTTACCAGTTGGCAGAGCCTTCTGCTTGGTCTTGAAAATGAAACTTGAAAGCAAAAACTTTTAAATCTCTAAAATGTACTTTAATTCTGGTTTTTATTTGGCATAATGCATCATTGTTATACCAAGTAAACAAAATGTTTTCATAATGCTTGATTCAATCAATTCCTGATATATAGAATAAAGTTCCTCCCTACATTTTTTCTCAATGTCTTGAAAATATGGCCAAGCAAAATTAAGCTCTCAAAAATATATCTCACAAATGCACACTAACATTCAAAAGGTAGGGGGTCGGTAAGATTTATAAATGTTTTATTTTACAGTAATATTGTGAAATATTATTACAATTTAAAATAACTATTTTCTATTTGAATATATTGTAAAATGTAATTTATTTCTGTGATGCAAAGCTGAATTTTCAGCATCTTTACTCCACTTTTCACTGTCACATGATCCTTCAGAAATCATTCTAATATTCTGATTTGTTTATTGTCATGAATGTTGAAAACAGTTGTGCTGCTTAATATTTTAGTGGAAACTGTGATACATTTTATAGTATCATTTAATGAATAGACAGTTCAAAAGATGTTTATTTGAAATAGTAATCCCTTGTGTGTTTTAATCATTTATATAAATGGATTTACTGTCACTTTAGATTAGTTTAATATTTACTTGCTAAATAAAAGTATTAATTAATTTCCAAAAATTATATTTTACTTCCAACACCCCCTAAAAAAACAATTCCTTAAATATGACACAATATATAATATAGTAAAAATAAATAATTAATAAATATAAATAAATAAATAGATAAAAGTATTTCTCAAGTAATTCTGAAAAGCTTTTCTTAGAACTAATACCACTTTTCTGAGCCACTTTTTCCAATTATTTTTAACTGTGGGTATTGGTAGAAATGCTAGCAGACATGCTTGGCATCCTTTAACCACTATGACACAATCTTGCCTTCAAGTGAACTAATGAAATATCTCAATTCCAAGCTACACTGTTATTTATTAAAGGCATTATTGTGACAAACAGTGTAAGAATGTTTCCCTCTAGAAGAGAGGAATATGGATTGGACACGTGGCTTGAAATATCCAGCCCGGCTTTTATTTAATGAAACTGCTGTCAGCACTGACTTTCTCTTGGTTTCAATCCAATGGACTGATTGAGAGTCCTGCTTGGTGATTGATACTGATGGTCTGCGGAGGGGTAAAATTGCACCCTGCACAAGGAAGGTGAATGCAGACTGTTTGTTTTGTTTATCTTATTTACAGGAGATGTTAAAGCTCTCCATCATTGATATGATCTTCACGGTGGCAAGTATCCTGCTTATTGATTTCATCCGGGGACTGGTGGTTCGATACTTGAGTGACTGCTGCTGTTGGGACTTGGAGAGCAAGTTTGTAAGTCGGTTGCACTTTCAAAGGTTTTTCAAGTAGATAAATGAGCGATAGATAGCCCTGCCTGGAATCTGCACCTGTTGAAAACATTGGTCACATTTTCAAACACCACCAAAAACTGTGTAGGTCTCCACTTGGGTCACATATTTTTTACATATTTAACAAGTTTAACACATTTAAAGCAATGCTCCAGGTTCAATACAAGTTAACGATAAGGTGTGTAACATCTGTGCAAAGCCAAACAGAATAGCACAATATTTTCAAACAGGTTTCACAGACTATTGGGCATTAGTTGATCAAATGCTTCTGTATCTGCTCAGTCAATTAAGTTGAGACAGGAATACAGGATGAAGTATTTTAATATTGAAAATATTACACACATCACTTTTAAGCATTTCATCAGCATCTGTGATGTGCTTTTGATTACCACTGGAATATAATTGTTCCTTAAAAAACTAACAAACCTCAGTATCATAAACTGCAGAAAATAATGTGTGCTAATCATATCCTACTGATATGATTAAAAACATTGTCAATAGAAGTGAATTTTTGAAGTTGTCATTTTTGTTCTAGATTCTGATTTTTCTGTAACAGGGATTCCCAAACATTTTTTTTATCAGCCGAATCCCTTTGACCTCAAATATTTATTTGAAGTACTTCCTGAAATTTGACATGAATATTTAAGTAATTTAACAACACATTTGCATATTCACGGTTCTCTAATTTTGATTAAGGGTCACATGACATAACCATAAAAATGAAAAAAATATATATACTGTATATACTGTATATATATATATTTTTAGTAAGATTCATTGTCATTTATTTAAATGCTTTATTTATTTTAATTTTACATTTTAAGATGTTTTTAATTATTAACATTTCATCAGCTTGTGAAGCAAACCCCAGTTTGGGAAACCCTCTTCTATACCATGCCTTTATAAATTCCCTTTTTAATTAAATTAAATTCCCTTTCCAGCCAGAATATGGTGAATTTAAAATTGCAGAAAATGTTCTTCATCTGATATACAACCAAGGAATGATATGGTAAGTGAGTGATGATTCATCATTTATCAATACATTGTCTAAGATATGATCATCAGTATAAAAGGAAATGTATCACAATCTTTTTTTTTTTACATTTACTGTGACTGCTTTTTATCTCTAATACACATTCCTAATTTAAAATACTATCTCTCTCTGTGTTAATCGTTATTATTATATATGAGCTTTCCTATCTATATCTACTATAAACTCTCCTGTTCCTGAGGTGCTCTTTACACAGGTCCTCAATGCTCCATTGCCCTCCAGCTTCAGACTGTAATCACACAATAATGACTTGTCTGAAGCTATAGGTGCACAAGCAAAACTCCTTTAAGATGGGAAATAAATCTTCCCGGTCTCTTTGTCTCTCCCTGTAGGATGGGAGCGTTCTTTTCACCCTGTCTGCCCGCCTTTAACGTCCTGAAGCTTGTCGGCTTGATGTACCTGCGGAGCTGGGCTGTGCTGACCTGTAATGTTCCCCATCAGCAGGTCTTTAGGGCCTCCAGGTCAGTGAGGCAGAATTCGGTCATTAGAGGTTATACATTCATTTAGAACGAATCTGAGGTCAGTGCTGCACTGTTCCAGTAGCACCAATCTAATGATTTGATATGAGAACTCAGGCAGTTTGGTTTATTAGTGGAGCTGAGCTTGGATAATCTGCCATCATTTGCTTATAATAAAACCATTACAAATACTGGTTTCATTAATCCTGGGACCAACTGAGCAGGTTGATGCAAGTATTTTTAGTTTTTTTTTTTTAAATAAAGATGTGTGGAATTTGGCTGAACATTACTCATTCTTTCTGTCTTGTAATAATTATACAAACTTTTTTAAATAATATTCATCCCTAGCGCTAAATTATTGAGTTCAGTCTCAAAAAATGCATTTAAATCCTTAGTAATCACAAAATAAATGGAAATCATGAAAATAATATAAATGTATTGTTTATATCCTCATTTCAGATCAAATGTAAAGTTAATTATAAATCAATTTCATGATTTTATTTAAATATTAAAATTCCTTTTAATGTAACATTTCTATATTATATATTCCTTCGAATATTAAATATTTAATTGTCCTCATATTTCCAGGTTTTGTGATTATTTGTAATAATTAGTATAACTGCTTCAAGATAATTCCACACATTTGTAGAAATGTAAAAATGTCTTCATTAAAAAAAAATTTAAATACTTAATTGCTTAATTTCATATTGGGCCCAAAGTGGTTTAGTCTTTTTTTTCTGTACTGAAGTAAGTATTTTTCATAATTAGTGGTGCTTTCTAAGGTAAGTTAGGGATTTGAACGAACCCCTAAACCAAAGTGTAAGTAAGTAATCAGTGGATGTGAATAATCAACGTATAATAATCCGATATCCAGAATACTAAAACTGCACACATTATGATAGATAGGTGTATTTAAAATACTGAAGGAGCTTGTTTGATTCATTTTAATCATCAGATCTCTTTTAATATTTAATGTTTGCAGTTGACATTTATTATTCAGTGTTTGTAAGTTGCAGCTCTTGGCCTTTGATGTTTTCCTATATTTGACACTGCACACTTTTGTAGGCAGTGAGAGGCAGCCTGATTTAAATACTTAATTGCTTAATTTCAAATTGGGCCCAAAGTGGTTTAGTCTTTTTTTTTCTGTACTGAAGTAAGTATTTTTCATAATTAGTGGTGCTTTCTAAGGTAAGTTAGGGATTTGAACGAACCCCTAAACCAAAGTGTAAGTAAGTAATCAGTGGATGTGAATAATCAACGTATAATAATCCGATATCCAGAATACTAAAACTGCACACATTATGATAGATAGGTGTATTTAAAATACTGAAGGAGCTTGTTTGATTCATTTTAATCATCAGATCTCTTTTAATATTTAATGTTTGCAGTTGACATTTATTATTCAGTGTTTGTAAGTTGCAGCTCTTGGCCTTTGATGTTTTCCTATATTTGACACTGCACACTTTTGTAGGCAGTGAGAGGCAGCCTGCCAAAACCGCTTGACAGAGCTGACATCAACACTAAAGCACAAGATCACTTTAAATGAAGCACTGACAGTGGTGGAAAGGAATCTATAAATAGATATATTCAGCATTTCTACATTTGCACTACAAGGCTTGCACAGATACCATATTTTGAAGCATGATCAATTTTTGTCCTGTTTGTTTACATTCACTTAAAACTGTGTTGACATTAATACCTCACTCAGCAAGGCGCGTTAGGCTGTTGTAGTTTTGGATAATATATGCATATTAATCTAAATGTAAACATCAAATACATTCTGATTAGCTGGTGAACTGTTGCATTTTACATTCAGTTTGGACAACAATAAAAATTGCTTATTCTTACAATTGTATAGCATTGCAAATGGTTAGTGAACAGAGTTAGTCGAATCGACCCTTAACCTAAACCGAGTTTAGCAGGCTTTTGTCAAATCCAGGTATGTTTAGATTAAATTACAACAAATAACTGTTATTTCTACATCTTTCTTACTTAAAAACATCCCCAGCGTACATGTTTCCTTTGCTGGAAAACAATGAGGAGTGTAAATTCCTCTGACAAGAGCTGCAATGTGAAACAATTTTGCTTTTTACGAGCTGTGAGATTAATTTGAAGTCAGCCAGCATTCAGTGTATGGCTCAGGGACTCTCTGAACGCAACACTTTTGCTCTCTGCTTGACTGAATTCAAATCCCTCTCGTTTTCCAGTGTGGTGAGTACAGAGATAACAGTGGATACTTCAGTGTGACAAGCGACTGGGTTGGTCAAAGCATCAGTCTCACTCTCCTTTTAAGATTTATGTAATTGCATCTTCATAGCTTTATCAGTCAGTCGCAGATGTGAGGCGAAACATTGCCGTGTAGTCTAAGCGTATTTCATCTTCAGTGCTGTGTTTTATAAATGATAAAAAGGAATCATCCCACTGCAGGCGGGGAGTGTGTAACTTATCAGATATGATTAGTTTCATTGTCTACCTGAGTGAATTCAAAGTATATAACGGTTTTTAATTGAAATTTATTTTATTCCCCAGATCAAATAATTTCTATCTGGCGATGCTTCTCTTCATGCTTTTCCTGTGTATGTTACCGACCATTTTTGCCATCGTAAAGTACCGGCCGTCTCAGTACTGTGGACCGTTCAGGTAAATAAAACTGTCCTCTTTGGGGCTGCATTTAAATCTAATCTCATTTAAGGTGATGTGTATTATTTTTTTGGATGTTGAAATACTTTCTCGTATCCCGGAAATAAGTGGAGACACCTATAAGTAAGCCATCTGCGGTTGACTACCCTTCAAAGTGTTAAAGCATTACTCTGAATCGCGAATAGGGCAACAAAGCGATACTGACTGAAACATTGGTTTGAGTTTGGGATGAGATTAAATTGCAGATGCAGGGAGTGTTTGGTAGCTTTTTTGTAAATTATCACTATTTTAGCAATTTTGTTTGGTGGCACTAATGGAAATGCAAAGAAACCAAACAGTATACACTACATGCTACAAACAAACTACTGCAATATACTATAGTTGTGTGTAGAAATATATATACAGTGGGTACGGAAAGTATTCAGACCCCCTTAAATGTTTCACTCTTTGTTATATTGCAGCCATTTGCTAAAATCATTTAAGTTATTTTTTTTTCCTCATTAATGTACACACAGCACCCCATATTGACAGAAAAACACAGAATTGTTGACATTTTTGCAGATTTATTAAAAATGCATTATTATTATTTTTCAGCTATTTGCCAAGGCAACTTTTTACATTTTCATTTAGTTTAACTTTATGCACTAAAATAACTGTAACTGAAAATACAAAAATAATTAATTAATACTATAGTATCTCAGTTATATTAAAGCAATTAATAACAATTGCTTACAGTCAACTGATCATGTGCAAAATAAATCCATGTGATCAGACTCGTATCACCCTCTAGAGGTTTATTTACTGCCTAGTAAACTGTAGGTTATCTTACTAACTACACAGCTACGTTCAAAATAAATGAATAAATGCACATAAAATTTATTTGAGTTGAAATTAATTTAAGATGTGACCAGAACCAATATGTAGAAAATAATTTGCCTGCTTCAAACAGTTTAGCATCACTTCTACAAAAATATTGCATTACAAAATGATTTACCATTCAGAATCAAATATTAGCGCAGTATAAGAATTGTTTAAAATTTGCATTAAAGTATGCAGCTGCATTTCTTCGCATTTCCTCTGCTGCTCTGTAGTGGCCAGGAGAAGATTTACGACATAATTTCCGAAACCATCGCCAATGACTTTCCGCTGTGGTTCAGTAAAGTGATGAGTTACGTCACCAGTCCTGTGGTGGTGCTGCCTGCTCTGCTGCTACTCTTGTAAGTAGGTTTACTTCCCTCTACACTGGCCTTAATTACCACTGAGAAAAAAGCTAGAAAAAGGCAGTCTTACCAACAACAAACAGACGTTGGCTTGACAAAGTTTTATCTGAAAGATTAGCTTCTTCTTAGAATGTTCTGTGTGGTTATGCATGGCTACTAAGGTGTTTTAGGAGATCTCAAAAGTCTCTTTTATTCACCAAGGCTGCGTTTATTTGATCAAAAATAGAGTAAAAAGAGAAATATTGTCAAATATTATTCGAATTTAAAATAACTGTCTTCTACTGCAATATATTTTAAAATGTAATTTATTCCTGTGACGCAAAGCTGATTTTTCAGCATCATCACTCCAGTCTTCACTGTCACATAATTCTTCAAAAATCATTTTTATATACAGTACTGTGCAAAAGTCTTAGGCCACTAGTATTTTCACCAGCTAAAAATGGTTTAAAGTCAGTTATATCTATCTTTTGCTGTAGTGTTTCAGTACAAAATATCAGTTTACATTTCCAAACATTCATTTGCAGGTAGGTCTCTTGAAGCATCTTGGAGATGTTGGCAGTTTGTCTCAGTTTGTTCTGTTTCTTCATGTCATTACAGACAGACTGATGATGATCAGACAACTATAAAAAAAATACTGACCCCCAACTGTCTTCTACTGCAATATATTTTAAAATATAAAATATTTATTTTATATTTTAAATAAATAAAATATAAAAAATATTTTATCCCCCCCAACAATAAGTGGGATATATGGTAATGTAGGTGTTTTTCATAGTGTGCTGTAGGAAAAACACAGGTTGATTCAGGAAGAGCATAGCTTCATTGCTGCTGAGTTTGGAGGATGTAGACTGAAAACTTTAGGATTTACATTTACAAGTTTTTGGCCTATGGTTGGAGAGTTAGAAAAAGTCCTTACCCCTGTATGTAGGCTACAACATCAGTATGTTGGTTCTGTCAAGCCAACATAATTCGACCAGGCGAGCAGGACACATGCCTTCAGTTACTCAACCTTGTGCTGTTAGTACTGTGCAAAAGTCTTAGGCCACTAGTATTTTCACCAGCTAAAAATGGTTTAAAGTCAGTTATATCTATCTTTTGCTGTAGTGTTTCAGTACAAAATATCAGTTTACATTTCCAAACATTCATTTGCAGGTAGGTCTCTTGAAGCATCTTGGAGATGTTGGCAGTTTGTCTCAGTTTGTTCTGTTTCTTCATGTCATTACAGACAGACTGATGATGATCAGACAACTATAAAAAAAATACTGACCCCCCCCCTCCCCAACAATAAGTGGGATATATGGTAATGTAGGTGTTTTTCATAGTGTGCTGTAGGAAAAACACAGGTTGATTCAGGAAGAGCATAGCTTCATTGCTGCTGAGTTTGGAGGATGTAGACTGAAAACTTTAGGATTTACATTTACAAGTTTTTGGCCTATGGTTGGAGAGTTAGAAAAAGTCCTTACCCCTGTATGTAGGCTACAACATCAGTATGTTGGTTCTGTCAAGCCAACATAATTCGACCAGGCGAGCAGGACACATGCCTTCAGTTACTCAACCTTGTGCTGTTCGTCACTGTCTCTTTCAGCATGCTGATCTACTACCTCCAGGCCATCGCTAGATCACTCAAAGTCACCAACAGCCAGCTGAGACTGCAGCTGCAGACCGTAAGCACTCGAAACTGAATATCATCATGATGTATTTCAGTTCATTTAACAGATCCGTGATTTACAATAAGGAACCCGAGCGAAACAGGATGAGGTCTTTGGATTTCATATAATCTAATTTCTCCAGCAGTTTATTTTATAACGCTAATTAAATCTCCTGTTGCAGGAGAGGACAGACGACAAGAAGAAAGTATTTCAGTTAGCTGCAGGTACTTTGTCTATAAACTATCTTCATTACGAATACAAGAGAACATTTCGGGCCCATTTCAGCCTGCTGAGCAGTAACGGCCAAAGTTATGTAGGGGAGAGCGGGGCACAAAGTATAAGGTTCAGAGTATAATTTTTTTATCCACAGTAACTTCACACTTGTCTAGTACAAATATGTTGCTTTGTTTCATAATTACAGTGTATACGTTTTTCTTTATTTACCCTCAAAAATTGGAAGTGAAATGTGACAACATGCCCCATAGGTGGGGTACATTGTAACAGCTGAGGGGCACTTGTAAGATGACCATATGTGACAGCTTAAAATGCTATTTGATCGCATGAAAAAAATATACAAGACAAACTAAAATATTTTGTCAATAAAATAAAATAATTATTTATTTCAAATAAAATAATGGCGTTTTTTAAGAATAAAAAATAATCTGATTTTGGAGTTTGACAATGAACACATTGCAACCATGCTTGGGACAGCCCACATAAACGAGCCAAAATGCTTTACATGTCTTGAAATAATAATTTCTTAACATTAAACATTGACTGTTATTATTTATTCACCTGTTTCTCATCGTTTATCATTAAAATGTATTACAGTAAATAGTCTGAATTACATCGCTAATGTCATAGAATAGCACGGAAGGGCACATTGTAACACAGTGTTACAATGTGCCCCATCTGCACAACTGTAATTTAAAACCGGTTACTGTCTTCTTACAGTTAGCGAAGCATTTAAAAATCTAAACTGATATATAACAGATTGGAGATTAAAGGGGTCATATGATGCTATTTTAAAGATGATTAATTTGTGTATTTGGTGTAACAGAATATGTTGACATGATTTAATGTTCAAAAAACACATTATTTTTCAAATAATGTACATTATTGTAGGTCCTCTATGCCCCGCCTCTCTCAAACACGTCGTTTTCAACAAAGCCCCCTCCTTTGACAAGCGCAGTCTGCTCTGATTGGCCAGCTGACCCAGCGCATTGTGATTGGCCTAACACCGCAAGCACTCGTCGGAAATGTAACGCCCCTTACCATAATCGCGAGCTTCAGCTTTCAAAGTAAATATCAGTTCAAGCCTGAAAGGGCAACAAAGTCGCGTGACAGACACAGTGATGATGCAGTGCACAAGCCACGGTTAAGACAGCTGACGTGCTATGATTTCTGACAGGCAGTTCACTCTCCTGTGATGTGACCCTGTTCCCCTCACACACACACACACGACGCGTTACTCTGCGCTGCGCAAAACTCCGCATTTGAACAGTCAATAGCAAATACTTAAACTAATAACAAAATATACTTAGTCGCTGATTCAGAAGCGCCAGATTGTCATAGGAAAGACAGAATTTACCCTTTGTTTTTTTGTTTTTGTTTTTTTTAAATAGCCTTTGTGCACAGCCAGCCTTGTACTCTTCTAGGTTCAAAAAACTGTAGTCCATAAAATACGTTGCACAAATTCGAACATCTGGGTTGTGCTGTTCTGTTGTAAATAAATCTTAACCAATGATTCCTAATTGCAACTACTTTCGGAAGGCCAAATAAAGTGCTTTTGCTTTCGCACAGATACACACAGCGTCTCCCTGACATGGCTGCATTAACACTAACTGCTGTTCCTGAAACCACGCCTTCTTTCTTTGCGTGTGACTTGAATTGTTTATGTGCATTACTGTAAATGTGCATTTTTAATTAATTTATTTATTAAACTTAGGGACAAGTCAAATAATCCTCTCTTTCTATACTTTTCTGCATTTGATGTTATACTTATATTATACTTGGCACTGTATGTCTCATGAAGCATTGACTTTGAATACATTGCTTGTGATGTTTTTTCTTTGTAGGTCGTTTTGGATAAAAGTGTTTGCTAAAATAATAAATGTAAATGTAGATGCTGTTCAAAGAGCTTCACTTAAAAAACGAACTTAAATATCTATCTGTATCTGTACCTTTATATATATTGCTCTAATTTTGGTGCACTTTTTTTAATCTAGATAATGTTGATATGGTAACTAGTAAATGCTGTAAATTTGGTTATGCTAGCATGTGTGGAAATATTTAAACCACATGCGTTACAACTTACCCCGCGTTACTTTGTGCCAAGCGCTCCCCTACTCACAATATATAACGTCATAAGCCAATATCAGCTTGTCACCAGTTGGCTGGACATTTGGGTGAGTAAATGTGTGATTTACAGCGCGTCTGCAGGCACCTGAGGGCAGCGATAAAAAGCCGGAGCAAGAGAGCGACATTACTAGTATGGAGTCGTCCGCCCGCTCAGCCTCTCCTCAGCGCCGCAACGGTAGCGTCGCCAACTTCGAATCTCCCGTCCGCATCGGCAACAGCATCCGAACCATAACGCAGTCGGCTTCACGGTTGGACATCCCTAGAGCCGCCGGAGCGACTCGGAGCCCTTCTGTTCCCGTGCGGCAGAAACACAAAGCAGAGCCTGTGGCCAGTAGGTCTGTGCTGATCTGTGGCTTTATATTTCACTGCTGCTTAGCTTCCATACATCTGCAGTTCATGAAGCTAGCTTCACTGCCCTCCATTTCTGCCCATGTAGTGCTTTCAGAATGTACAGCAACCCCTCAGTTCCTCAAAGACAAGTACGACGAGTGGAGTACATACCCATCAGGTTTGGTATATTCATGAAGTTTGGTTATGAAAAAACATAATTCTGCAATTTCGTTTTTACCTATGAGGGTAATCTATTAAAGCAGTGTTCCAGTATTCAATACAAATGAAGCTCTATCAACAGCATGTAGATTACTGCAGAAAATAATATCAGTCCTAATTTTTTTAAAGGTAAAAATAACGATTGCAGTTGTGTTGTAACTAAAATTCAAATTATTAAAATATTTTTGTAAATTGAAATGGAGCTGAAACAAATTATAAATATTGAATAAAAACTAACATTTCTCAAACTAAAATAAAGCGCTAAAAAAAACATTAAAAATAATAAAAATGACACAATCACATAACAAAATTATTAACATTTAAATACTGAAGAAAAATAAATGCTAATTCAAAAAAATACTATAATAGTATATAAATAATACTAAAATAAAACTGGATTACAGTAAGGTGGGTAAAGTAAAATACTACACTTGAAACACTTTCAAAAGCACAGCCACTATATTTAAACATGATAGGTTTTGACATAATGTAAGACTAGTGTGACAGAAGCACTTGCTGATGCTGTGTCGGTGTAAAATAAGGTATCCAAATATTTAATTTGTCATACCGTGTGACTTCAGCTTGATATGCATAAGGATGCATAAAGCAAACTGCACTGCAGGAATTATGTCAGTAAATCATAACCAGAAGTTCATCCACTTAGAAAATTTGTCCCATCTCAAAAAGTATAATTTAGACTGCTTTACTGACCAAACAAAAAACTGCAGTAAACACTTTCTGAATAATTAATGTTAAGTGCTTTAACAAAATACAAACTTTATATTTCTGCTTTTAAACCCTTTAGAACACTGGCTTGCTTGACTTGAATTGTTTATGTGCATTACTGTAAATGTGCATTTTTAATTAATTTATTTATTAAACTTAGGGACAAGTCAAATAATCCTCTCTTTCTATACTTTTCTGCATTTGATGTTATACTTATATTATACTTGGCACTGTATGTCTCATGAAGCATTGACTTTGAAAACATTGCTTGTGATGTTTTTTCTTTGTAGGTCGTTTTGGATAAAAGTGTTTGCTAAAATAATAAATGTAAATGTAGATGCTGTTCAAAGAGCTTCACTTAAAAAACGAACTTAAATATCTATCTGTATCTGTACCTTTATATATATTGCTCTATCATATCAGATCACAGACAGGGTCATTAGTGCTTGCACTTTGAGAGTAAAACTTAATTTGGCTTTTTTCATTTCATAAAATGCAATGCACTTCATACTACTTAATTAAAGGAACTATTCACTAAAACTGAAAACATAGTCATTATTTACTCATCCTCATGTTATTCCAACCCTACATTATTTTCCTTTTTCTGTGAAACACAAAGTGAGCTCTTAAGAAGAATGTGGGCAGATTGCTTTTATGGTGCTTTTAGTCCTTGACAGTACAAATCACCAGCCATTTTTTTTTTTTGGCTTAACATCTCCTTTTGTTTCACAAAAGAAAGAACAATAAAGGTTTTGGAACTACTTAGTAAATGATGAAAAAAAAGAACTGCAGTTTTGGTTGAACTATTCCTTTAAAGGGGTCATACGACGTTGATAAAAGAACATTAATTTGTGTATTTGGTGTAATGCAATGTGTTTATGCGGTTTAAGGTTAAAAAAACACATTATTTTCCACATACTGTACATTATTGTTCCCTTTCAGTCAGTCACTCCGAGTCACGTCGGTGACCGACGAATTGGGATATCGCTTCGATAGACCAATCTACTTCGAGTGTAAACTAAACGAGCCAATGCACATTGGCTTGCAGTTATTGCATCCAGCTGCCGCTGATCACAGCGTGAGTATAATAAGACAGCAGGTGCAATGCATACCAGCTTTTCGCTTTGGAGCCGAGCGACAACGTCGTTCTGCTCAACTGTGTCTGTTCGAGAACTACGATTTCAGCATGCTCTCGGAAGCTTCTTGTGTTTGCGAGACAGCGCTTCAGCGGTGGTCGTTCCAGTGTCGAGTGGGTTGGGCACTTCAGGCTGCACTGAACCCCTGTCGTGTTGCAAGCGGCTATCTCCCCTGTGCGCCTCAGCACTAAAAGAGCATTTCCTAAAGAGCAAATTTCTCTAAAAGAGCTACACGGGTGCGTCTTTATAAAGACGACGGATCGTCCTTATAAGAATGCCGTTTCACCCGTGCGTTTCTGGGTGCAGTCATTACCTGGCACCGGATGATGGTCACGATCGCTGCCTCACGTGTCTGGCCATCAAGCACGCTGAGGTGGCCTTCGTGGATGAGTCATGTTCTCATTGCGGGAACATGACCATCTCGGAGCTGCAAACCAGGCTCCGCTACTCGCAAGGGGGCGGAGTCCCATTGCCGCGATCTGGGGCTCGTTCTGGTGGACAGACGAGAACCACTTCTAGCAGTAGCGCAGGCGGTTTGAGGGTTACAGTGATTGCAAACCCCACAGGGAACCAACCCTCTGGGGACCATCACTCCTCTTGCACCTCCGATCCAGTGTAGCGACCCACGGAATGCGCTGAGCCCTCTTTAAAGAGCGTACCAGCGGTATCCAGTGGACCTCCCCCCGACCAGATGTCGATCTCAGCATCGGAGGGAGAGCTGTCCGATGAAGATTCGGCCGCGCTGCCGCCCTCCGGGATGGTAGCAAGGCCTGGATCGGATCCGGAGATGGCAGCTATGCTTTCCCGGGTCGCCGAGGGGTTGGGCTCGAGTGGAAACCCCCACCGCGTCCCGAGCCCTCAAGGCTGGATGATTGGTTTCTCGGGGTGGCTCGCGCTGGTTCTCAGTGCCCCGCCCCGGTGCCTTTCTTCCCGGAAGTGCATGACGAGCTCACTAGGTCATGGATGGCACCTTTTACTGCCAGAAACCGGCCGGTAGGCTCCTCCTCCATCACCACCCTCGACGGCGGTGCAGCGAAGGGGTATTCGGCGATCCCCCCGGTAGAGCAGGCGGTAGCGATGCAATTGTGTCCTAAGTCCACCTCCTCCTGGCAGGGAGACCCGGTACTTCCTTCCCGGGCCTGTAGGCATTCATCTGGTCTAACCGGCAGTGCCTATATGGCTTGCGGGGAAGCTGCTTCCGCCTTACATGCTATGGCATTACTGCAGGTGCACCAGGCTAAGGCACTGAAGGACCTGCACGAGGGTGGTCATGATCTGGATGTTCTGAAAGAGCTCCAAACCGCCACTGACCTCGCGCTCCGAGCGGCGAAGGTCACCGCGAGTTCTCTGGGTTGTGCGATGTCCACCTTCAGGCTGCACTGAACCCCTGTCGTGTTGCAAGCGGCTATCTCCCCTGTGCGCCTCAGCACTAAAAGAGCATTTCCTAAAGAGCAAATTTCTCTAAAAGAGCTACACGGGTGCGTCTTTATAAAGACGACGGATCGTCCTTATAAGAATGCCGTTTCACCCGTGCGTTTCTGGTTGCAGTCATTACCTGGCACCGGATGATGGTCACGATCGCTGCCTCACGTGTCTGGCCATCAAGCACGCTGAGGTGGCCTTCGTGGATGAGTCATGTTCTCATTGCGGGAACATGACCATCTCGGAGCTGCAAACCAGGCTCCGCTACTCGCAAGGGGGCGGAGTCCCATTGCCGCGATCTGGGGCTCGTTCTGGTGGACAGACGAGAACCACTTCTAGCAGTAGCGCAGGCGGTTTGAGGGTTACAGTGATTGCAAACCCCACAGGGAACCAACCCTCTGGGGACCATCACTCCTCTTGCACCTCCGATCCAGTGTAGCGACCCACGGAATGCGCTGAGCCCTCTTTAAAGAGCGTACCAGCGGTATCCAGTGGACCTCCCCCCGACCAGATGTCGATCTCAGCATCGGAGGGAGGGCTGTCCGATGAAGATTCGGCCGCGCTGCCGCCCTCCGGGACGGTAGCAAGGCCTGGATCGGATCCGGAGATGGCAGCTATGCTTTCCCGGGTCGCCGAGGGGTTGGGCTCGAGTGGAAACCCCCACCGCGTCCCGAGCCCTCAAGGCTGGATGATTGGTTTCTCGGGGTGGCTCGCGCTGGTTCTCAGTGCCCCGCCCCGGTGCCTTTCTTCCCGGAAGTGCATGACGAGCTCACTAGGTCATGGATGGCACCTTTTACTGCCAGAAACCGGCCGGTAGGCTCCTCCTCCATCACCACCCTCGACGGCGGTGCAGCGAAGGGGTATTCGGCGATCCCCCCGGTAGAGCAGGCGGTAGCGATGCAATTGTGTCCTAAGTCCAGCGCAGGGGTACGCGGGAGTTCACCAGGTGAAGCGGTCGGTTGTGATGCAATTGTGTCCAAATGCCGCTACCACTTGGCGGGGCAAACCGCTGCTCCCCTCCCGGGCCTGTAGGCACTCGTCGGCCCTGATCGGCAGTGCTTACTCGGCCTGTGGAGAAGCTGCGTCTGCCTTACATGCTTCGGTGTTATTGCAAGTGCACCAGGGTGGTCACGACCCGGAAGTTCTCAAAGAACTCTGCACCGCGATGGACCTCGCGCTACATGTGACGAGGGTTACGGCGTGGTCTCTGGGTCGTGCGATGTCAACTATGGTAGTCCAGGAGCACCATCTCTGGCTGTGTCTGGCCGACATGCGCGAGACCGACAAGGTTCGGTTCCTCAGTTCCCCTGTGTCCCAGACACAGCGACACTGTGTCCTCTTCGCAGTCGAGAGATTTGCCCAGCAGTTCTCGCCTGCCCAGAAGCAGACTGAGGCGATCCGACACATCCTGCCCCGGCGGACAGCTGCTGCCTCCACCCATCCGCCGGCTGCAGCGCCCCAGCCTGCTCGTCGCCGAGGGCGGGCCCCCGCTCCCAAATTCTCGACAAAGAGCAGTTTCCTTTATCTCTGTGTCCCAGGAGGGCACAGAGAGTTGCGGACGGACCAACGCCGGACCTCACTCATCCTCCTCCTTTGCCAGCCGGCAGCAGCGGGTGGTTCGAGAGCGTCTACAAAGGCCCTACTCATGCACCCTCTGCCAACCCGTGGAACCAGGGGAGCCTTGCACCCCACACTCACACCCCTCTCCGGGCCGT